TCAAATAATATTTATTCACGTACTCACAGATTCTGTTCTTGAGAACAGTGTAAGTGATAGAAATAGAAGGCATAGTAATGTAGTTCCTTAAACGACCCTTGGAAAACTTTGAAAGAGGCAGTACAAATTAGCTACTCCCTAGTTCTTTTGTAGCAAAGACCTATTGAGTGAGTTGCCATATCAGAGTTCAGGTATCTTCATCTGTAGGTGAATACATTTTTTTCCTCATCATTACTATTAAGTTTATCTATAGGTTCCATAATTCCTTCTGCTGACAATTTTATCAAGGTTCTTGAACCACTGGTTAGATTTCCATGTCAGTCCTATCTTAGAAGTGAAGCCTGATCATCCTGTCAAGTACATGTATGTCCTGGTTTTGGTGTATTCTGAGAATTTAAATGTGTACGCCACAGAAGAGAAAGGAAAAATGCAATTTACTGCAGAGTCTATATGGATGAGGAATTTTCAACACATTTTTTATTAACCATAATCCTTTATTAGACCTCACAGAGGTGTAAACTATACATACAAATACATTAGAAAGATACCCTCTTAACAGTAATGCTTCACATTTTGGACCTGATACCAAGAGGGTTGCAAACATTTCAGTACATTCTACAAACCAAAGGGTGCATTAGCCTTTATGAATACAGAGTGACAAAGCCCTTTACTGAAATCAAAGTAGATAAAAGTGAAAATCAGTCAACTACCTCTTCCAACCTTTACCTACCATAAATGCATATAAAAGCCTTTAAAAGCATGAATACACTATTATTTATGGAGCAAAGTTTACTGTTCTAGACAGCTCATATAGAAAGGGGAAGAGAATGGTCAAGATGGCATTACATGAACTGCAAACTAGCAAAAATTCTTGATTTTTTTTTAATATTTGTACATATTCAGAGCTCCATTATTGATTTATTGGTTGTTACTAGAAAAGCTTATAAGTGCTAAATGGGGAGAATAGCGCAACAAAGACATTGTTGAGGTATTTGGGGGATTCTGCAACACAATGATGTTACATACACAGTATGAAATATTATTTGTCATCAAGTAGTGACATTGTATTATGAGTAAGCACAAGAAAATAGAAAGAAAGAATAAATCCAGTTAGAACTTTAATAGAGTGTTTGAATGGTTTTTAGTGAATGAACATTTAACACTTGTCACTGGTTATAATGACTTGAAATGTTAATAGTAGCATTATTCAGTAGTGAAATCAGAAATTCATGTATCCACATTCATGCTTGCATCACAGGAACCCCAGTTTTAGTCATGATACCAATTGAAATTGAACAGTGAAGAAAGGGAGGACAGTTAATATTGGAAAGGCCATCCTCCTGAAAGCCAAGTGCTATTGATCTCTTCAATGTAGCATTTTGGGGTTGCTTTGCTGATAATTCGGGAAGAGAGAAATCTCATATATAATTTGATTAGCAGCAGCAGGTGGTGCTGCTTCTTCTATTTTGTTTCCTAAAATCCTGAGTCTTGATAAACATGTTCAATATTCAACCCAAAGACTCCAAGGATTAAGAAACTGTAAAACAGAACCATCACATTCTGATAAAAGCAACATGAAGTATCAGATTACGGGTGAATCTGTTCAGGACATTATGGAGTACCAGTATGCTTTCAGTGGTGCATTTTATGACACATTTTGATGAGACTTAGTTTAATCAGGCAACTATTATCATTATATGTTTTCTACATTTTTTTTTTCATCTTGCACAGGATTTATATAGAATTCAGTTGAACTAATTCCTTAGAAATGATAAGAAGTGAAAAGGTACAATTTATATACTGTATCATGCAGTATAAGTTGCATGTGCTTTATTACATTCAAACTTGTCACTAAGTGGAAACAATGAAGAGTATTATTATGCAGTATTGATATAATTTTGATGTAAAATTCTAATCTAATCTAAAAAAAAAGAAAGACAAAATTTAGAATTCATCTCTGTGCACTAAATAAGGACACTGTACCACTTTCATTGGTAGCACTTTAGTCTATTAGTCTTGGATCCTTTATTATTGATCATTGTTAATGTGGTTTTTTCTTTCATATCATAAGCCAGGTTAATGCTAGCAAAAAAGGAATAGTGGAACATTATTTGATTTTAAAATTAGAAAGTTAAATATTTCATTACAAATTATGAATTTCATTAAATCTGTTGTAAATACAGTTATCTGGTTATACCTTTTTCTTTAACGCTTGTAAGTGTAGCATGATCCTATTTACTGTTAGAGTCCTTTTTGTTCTGCAGGTATTTTTTTGTTGCTTTAGATGAATGAGATGGTACTAATGAACATGAAGCACAGTAAGATGGAATGTCTTTAATTTAGTTAAAAAAAGGGTAAAGGTGGTTCACCCTGTTAAAATACGAAAAAAAATCCCCAACAATATTTGTGCTGTTAAGAACTTCAAACAAGTGTGAATATATAATATTGTAGATGGGTGTATGTATGTTAAATATTTATGGAAAAGAAGGTTTAGCAGCAGAAGTATCATGTTTATGCTCTTTATGACTTTCGTGATCCAAGCTGGAAAAATAAAATGTTACTGGAGAATACAGAGAGATGAAAAATCATTACAAGTAATTTGGGGTATAAGAATTTACAGTGCTGCATCTTTTCCACTTCTTAATTAGTTATGGGTATTACAGAGGGGCATGAATTATTCTTACAGAAAACACCTAACTGACAAATGAGATTATATTATTAAATGATAGGAATTTTCATTCTTCTCTCTATTATCCATTACTCTTACTTTGAAGGGATGCTTACACTTAAAAAGTCTCACTTAACAGAGCTTATCTGGAGAAGAATGATATAAAAGACAAATTTTAAATCAATGGTTTCATACCAAGGGCCTCAGAGTTAGTATTTTACATCTGCACTTAAACAGATAAATAGATTTGTCAGGTTACAGCAAAGAAGTGTCTTAAAAATCAGGTAATTTCTTTTGCTGTGAGGAACAAAGTCAGGATCCAACTTGTGACACCCATGTCATACAATGTTCTTCTAAAATTAGATTCCAATTGGATTATTGAATATAATCCAAGAGAAAAAATGTGTAAAAACAAGTTCAAATTTTACTTGAGAGGAATAAGAAAAGCATAAAATACACGTGCACACATACATGCACATACACATGCACACATTAGAACATTATATATACACATATACATACATATGTCTCTATATATGTATATATCTATATATACATACACACTTTATGCAACTAGCATAAGATTTCCTAATGTAAGCATCAGGGAGGTCCTTCTTGTTTAGGTCTCTGCTAGACTGGTATCTCTATACTGCACTATATGAAATCAAGTTTCAGATATTCCCATAACACCCTTCATGTAAAAAAACCCAAAAAAGATTTAGATATATCAGATACTGTGTGTATGGACAGGTACAGTTCAGTAGAATATTCCAATGCTGTGAGAAGAAAAATGTATCGTGTACGACCAGAATGAGTAAAAACTTTGTGTTAATAACTTTTTTCTTTCTTTCATGATACCTTTAATCTACTTGCTTTACTTAATGTTACTTCCACACATTAATTGGCTAATTAGTAATCTCATCAAGGCAAATTCTTTATTTTTTGTGGGTTTTGCTGAGAGGAAAATATCTCACTCACTTGAAAGCCTCATCTCCTCCTCCTTACCACTGCCTCCCAGTTCAGAACAAAGTGAATCAAACCAAAACACCCCCTACCCCAAACAAGGAGACAAACAGGAAAATTATGTTGTAATAGTGTTTTAACTAGGTTTGCTGGGGGGGGAGCGTGGGAGGAGGAATGAATGTTGGTTTTGAATAGAAGCTTAGTGTTCGGAAGAATTGTTTGCACTAAATAGTATCTTTCAAAGAGGGACCAGAATAGGTTGAGTCCCCAAATAAATTATTACTATTCCTTTTCAGACTAAAAATAAAACATTTTAAATATATTGATTATACCTTCATTGGAACATAAGTATTCTATCTAGCCTATAGTTTCCTAGAATCTCTATTTGGGCTTAATTTATCATCATTTCAAAACAAAACAATGAAATGTGTAACTTTGCACATTAGGATGTTTATAAAGACCACATAAAATAAAATAATAAAAAAAAATAATTCACAGACTCTTAGCCATATATTTCAACTTTTTTTCACAATTTGAAACTGGTGAGAGTTAAAAATAGCATCAGTTTCATGTTAGGATTTTTTTTTTATTCTTTCTTTATAAAATCAGATGCATTTCTTTATGCCTTTTTTTTTTTTTCCTTAAGAATTTAGACATTTTGGGGGCATGCCATGAGTGAAAAGGTAATTGGGTAAAAATGAAAGAACTATGCTCAATGAAAATTTCGAGTGTATCATGCCAATGACTTTAAGCCTAACTCAACACTGATCTCAGGCTACAGTGTGGCTTAGAAATTTTTGTTATGATAGAGAACTAGCATTACTCTGAACAGGCTTTCAGTCATATCCATTCTTCTGACTTGAAATGCTTTTCTTCACCTGTATTTCTGACATAGAATAAAGATTCAGAATTACATTTCAAGTCTGTGAATTTTTGTAGCATTTTGACTCTTTCACTCGTCCACTTCCATCTATTTAGGATTTTTTTTCTGTTGCTGAGTGACAAAAAGTTGAAAAGTTATGGCTACTTGTATTTCTATTTTAATAAGCATACCTATATAATTGACATTTTCATACATTAAAAAAATATTTATGCTTTCTTTTATATTTTAGTCAAGTACTTTCTTAAAGAAAACAATAGCACCACTTTGGCATTGTTGGCCAAATCAGTAACAGGTAAAGCAAATATGCATACACTTTTCTGAACTTGTCTTATCACACACTTGTTAAAATGGAGGGCCAAGAATACACGGTGCTTGGCCTACAGTCTTCATTAGTCAATTTTAACCATTAATAATAAGTCAACAATCAGCTCATGGGGCAGCTGAACACAGGTACTTATAGTATGTGGAATTTTGTTCTGTAAAAATCCTACCCTTTAATCTTAAAAAAGTAAAATAAAATTGATGCTGTAATCTGTCTTGGGCAAAAGGTGCCTGCTTTGATGTATCTACAAGGGCTGGATGCAATATCCCATTATTTGATTTTCTTTTATCTCTTGACAGATTGGTATGAATATGCCTCATATAAGTCTTTCATACAATTGTAAGCGTAGGTTTGTAAGCATGTTTTGAGCAGAATACAGAATTTATTCATTTTCCATTAAAACTTTTAATGATTATGGTTACGATGGAGGTGACTATCAAATTCTGCTCCCTTGGTGAAAAAGATATATTAACTTCAATGGGTTTAGATCTGTAATTATTTTTGAACTAACTGAAAATAATGAGAATTACTTCACATTTTTACTGCTGCACTTCAGTGACATTCTGTGTGGTAACTGGATTTTTATGTCTGTTCCAGAATGCAGAAGTCTGTGATTTCTGTCATGTGATTTACATGATATGGAAGGTTGGGACTGGAATTTTCCTTACCACTTAAGTGATTTATGAGAATCAACGAAATCCCGTGGGAGCCCAGTTCCTAAATATCTGGAGTGCTTTTGAAAATCCAGCTGAATCTTTCAATTTCTCTAATTAGAAGTTTTTCTAGTCAGACTACTTTGTACTTTTGGAAGGGAGATGTTTTGGCTCATGCTTCAGCTTCTTTAAGTAGCGGATTTACTGATATTATTGAGCTAATGCAGCCCTTTATCTTTCACACTGACTGGCATATCATGTGCTCCCTGCCATATGACTGGAGGTTTCCTATACAACTGCATATTTCCCATCTATGCATTTCTCAACTCTGTGGTGTTGAAGCTACTCTCCATTTTGTGGTACCATGTATTCTCTAGTAAAGCTAAGTGTTGCCTTTAAACCTTGTAACTATTCATTATTTATTGTAATGTCTTTCAAGGATTGTTCTAAATTGTTTAGACAGTTGTCAGGTTCTCGTGTTAGATATTGCTGTCTGAGTGACATTTTCTAATTATGATGTCTCAACAAGAGAAATATGGTGGCAGAAATGTGAGTGCATACATTCCAATATAAGTCCAAAATCTGAATTTACAGGGATTAAATAGCCTGATGATGTATGGCTATTTAGTTATATTCACACTGCATCTGTAAAATGTTGTCTACAAAGAAACTTGCCACCATTGAGATCTGTAAATTACTATTTGCTGTTACACCTTTCTTCCCTCTTCCCGTTAGAACTTCAGAGGAGATGGGCCAAAAAGAATCATGGGGCATGAAATGGAAATATGTATTATGTATGTGACATCCAAATAATGGCATATTCTAGAATGTGTTTCAGAATTCTTAACAGCCACTGAAGTAAAAATATTTCCCTCTCCATCTTCTCCGCTAAAAGAAAGTCAGTAAGAGCTGTGACAGATATCAGAATTGGTACCTCTGTTTATTGAATTGGTGGTAAACAATTTCATTTCCCCATCTGTTTCTCTGTACTTTCTTCCATTTCAACATAACTATCTCAGTCAGTGACAGCTGTGATATATTCTTTTTATTCATTTAGTGTTCTGCTTTTACATTGCAATGGCAGCCTATTGTGGATATAAACATGTATCTCACAGAAAACGAATGGTATAAAGAATTGCACAGGAGTCATAGAATCATAAAATACATTGCACTTTCCTTGGAAAAAAAATCTAACTTTCTACAGGAACCAAAAAGGAACTATAATTATTTGTTGGACTTTTAAGACTTAGTTTTCCTGCCTGTTTTACGAGAAACTACTTGAGTATCTGTAAAATATTCAGCCTTCAGGGATTCTTCTCTTGTGTTTCAGTAAGTCACCTGCTCCCATGGATGTAGTAGAAAGAAAGGCAGATTTGAGCCTTTAAAAAGAGATACTTCCTTTACAGCTCTGATCCAACATCTCCGTAATTGCTCCCTTTTCTCTGCCATCTTTGGGGCTGACCAAGGGATACTTTATCTCTTGTTTGAGCTTGCCATGTGCAGGGATATTTTTGGGGGAAAAAAAATTGAGTAGAACCATGTTGCAGTTTTAGACAGGGTAGAACAGTGAATTCTCTCCTGCCTTCTCTTCCACTCTCTCACCGATAAATTTATTGCTCACCTTGGAACGCTTGGCTACTTATCACTCCTTACTGTGTGGCTGATCCAGCACTGAGTTGACTTACGAAATGGAGCATAGGACACAGTGATATTCAAGGTAGAATCAGTGCAGTACCTATCAAGGTTACATGGCAGAGAAATATGTCTCCCACAAAAGTGCATGAAGGGTGATTGTAGCAGTTTGAAGGACATTCTGGTTCATCTCTTCTTGAGGACTCTTTCTACACTGTAATTTGGTGATTAGATTAGCTTTTGTGATTTACAGGATGTTGCAGCAACCTAATTAACAGTCAATTTAGTCACATCTGATTGTGGGGAGAATTAAAATGACAGAGAACTTGAGTAACCCTCTGTTACGTTTGAATAAAATGCCTATATTTCAGAAAGATTTAGGTCCTGATGGACTAAAGTCATTTGAGGGTTGTTTCTCAAACTGTCTTCTCTGGGCCTAGGAATCTACGAATTTGTGTTCCACATAACTGCAAATGAAAACACCACCATTCAAACATATAACAGAAGAAAGGTATCTGACTTTTCTTTTGGAGATGGGAAAGTTATTTCAGTGGTGGAATCTGAAGCCATTTTAGTTCATTTAAACTGAATATTGTTTAAACTGTTTTGTTATTTACTCTTTGGCTTGATCTTTCGATATTTGCTTTTGCTTATTACCATTTTGGCCAGACCCTTTCATGTAACAAACTATAAAATAGCACCGTTGTACTATAAAACAGAGATTTTTACATACTGTTTGATATATGTGTATTATTGATATGCTAAATTTTACATACTGCATTATATGGAGGAAGAAAGAAGTTACCTATACTGTTGCAAAATAATTACCTGGAAGAATCATTAATGGTTTGAGAGCCTATGTATGCTTTAACTGCTTTTAGAAATCTTTTGTCTCACAAATTGCAATAACTCGCATCTTTGCAAGAGAAGGAAAAATAAAACTGTCTTAAAACAAATGCATCTATAACCCATATTCTGTCAAAAAGCCACAGATGGAATTAATGGATGTTTAAAACTGTATATGTTACCTTACTGCTGCTGTTACTGGGAATGTCAAACTGTGCAAATATGAAGGGGTAGACAAACAATGTTATCAGACACTGTAAAACAAACAGCCTGTTGCTTGTATAGAAGTGCAAATAAAATAAAAACACCACTTAGACAAGGCTGATGAATGACTCCAGCAGCCTGTGTTCATAGGTTAATTTAGTGCAATTGGATCCATCAAAGGCCCATAAATTTGTAGGCTTTTGAGGGGCACAGGACTTTAAGAGATTTTGTGTGCAGGACATTTAAAACAGATTAACAAACAGTAATATATCAACCACAGAATTTTTTAGCTCTGGGCTTCTTAAAATGTTCTGTTCTCTAAAGACTTAGTATTGGAATGTTTAGTTGCATTGTTCACTGGGAGAATGCCCATTGGTTGAGATTGCATCAAGCTTATTAACCATAGGTTTTTTTAAGTCTTCCAATGTTTAACAAATAATTTATTTACAACAAAGTATCCTGCAGATGGCACATCCATTCTTCGTTCTTGTGGACGGCATGTTCTTACATTCTGTAGTTTCTGTTTCCTGTGTTCCCTCTACTTGTATTCTTCAAATGCACTTCCTGAAGGTGTAGAGAAAAAAAATTATTCCAGGTAGGTTTTAATGTGCTATGAAACTTTTATTAGTGGGAAAAATAGTAACAATGAATGAAGAAAACACGTATTCCTTCACTCATCTACACTGGTTTTTTCCATGCGGCAACAACAGTTATCCTGAATGCTGGTATTTCTAGAGCCTTTTTGCCAGTTCACAGACAACATAACTATACAAAACTTCTGTACACTAAATTCCTTGTTCTCCTAGACATAAACATTTTGATTGCTGTCATTGTTGATCTTGGCAGAAGAAACATCTACATACTGGAATGTGGATGGGCTTAAGCATACAGTGGGTACCAAAGATTTTCTTTCCTTCAGAACAAGGACATTTGCAAGCAGGATGTGTAGGGGCCAGGGAACTTTAGAATTGTAACTGCAGGATTTATGGAGCGCCCTGGGCTTTGGTACCCCGTGGTCAGAGGTTTGAAAAATTGCTGAGTAGGACTCTGTTACCTACATTTTGCGTAAATCACATACTAGATGTGTAAGGTTTTTGTTGGATAAGGCCGTTAGGAGTCTAAAAGGTGTGGGTTCACTGCAGGAGCTGCAGCCAAATAATTTGTATTTTCAAAAAGAGATCAGGTGATGTGCCAGGCAAATCAAAAGGGTTTTGAAATGAATAATGCACTGTTCCATGCATAGGTAAGTTTTCATCAGCAGTGCTGGATGTGGCATGTATCTTTGAGTTTGATTCCATATTTGCCATGCTGGTAAATATTACATGTTCCCAAATCTTTGCACATTTTGTACCAGACTAGAGGCAGAATTGTTAAGTGACAATCTTCATCAGAAGCTAAATTCTTAGTTAACTAAAATAATTTCTGTTGTCCTTAGAAAAGCCAGAAATAAAAACATGTCCCTGAGAAAGATGAGGTATGTGTACGCAGCTTTACCACTGCATTATTATCTGCTACTTAATCATGAGAAAAAAAAAAAAGGAAATGTGATCTCTAAAATGTATAAAGTAATGAAAGTTTTGTCTGATTTCCAACGGGCAGAAAGAAAATAGAAGCTGATTTGGTGCATTACACTGGGTTTTTAAATGATTGTCTACATAAAATACTGTTCTGTATCTAAATTTTTCATTTTCCTCCGGTATCTATCAGACATAAATCAGAAACTGGCAAAGGATCACAAAACTTGAGCTTGCATAGAGCTTATTAGCTTTCACTGGTTTGATTGAGTTCTGTTGGATATAAGTTGAATTATTCTTTTCAGAATATAAAAAACCCTCAACAAACAGTACTAGTAATTGTTAACTATATCACCAACAAGTAAGAACAGTGAGCCAAACTAAGATTTATCATCATTGACAAGACAAATTTGTTAATAGCAAAGTATTCCTAATGAAAAATTGTCTTTGTTAGGAACCTGCCATTCTAGATGCTCTTACTCTAAATGCAATACTAAACAAAGATGAGATTGACCATCTAGTCACTACTCCTGTGTTCAGTAAAGTACTGGCATGTCTTAATCAAGTTTTGCTAATATTGCTATAGAACAGATTCTTTAACATGGATCAAATACAGAAACAAAAATGTCAACAGAATTCTGCTTATCCATTCATTGAAATAGCTTTTGCTGTTTCACTCCTGTTTCTCTTCCAACTTTTTGAAAGCTTCCTTTTTTGTCTTTAGTTTTCCTTAAGTTGTATGTTAGTTTTCACCTTGAAGTACATATTCTGAATTAAACCTCCAGTTTCCACTGATTTTCACTATAATCATCATTGGTGCACTTCGCAAAAGTCTACCACTGTTAAGGATCCTGCCTTGTGTTACAAACACTTATATTAGTAATAATGAACTAAAAAACCAGGAATTCCTTGACTCATCTGCACTGCTTTTTCCTCATGGCAAGAAAACAAAATATCCTCCTCAATGCTGTTTCTAGGTTCTTCTCTTTGACAAGAGTTTACTGGCATATAGGAAAAATGATATGCTATATTTTATTTGAAAAAAGTCATATATATTTAAATGCTGCACACTCATGACCTATAAAATGGACAGTGAGAGCCTTATTATGAAACAACAGCCATTTTGCATTACAGTGGCTTAAACTGAAAATTAGCTACATGTTTCCCAAACAAAAATATAAATTCCCTCCACTACTGTTGTGGTCTGACTTTAAAATGGATTTATTATTCAAAGACAGCAAATAGTAAGTTGTAGCAGGGTTTCAGTTATAGCTTTTAATACTGACATTTAGCTTTGAGACTGGGGGAGGATGGTAGGTTATTTTCAAACACTTCCTCCTCTGGAATCAGTATTTTGATGAATAAAACTACAAAGAGGTGGCACTGATGGTGGCAGTAGTAACATGCATGCCAGAAAATGCTTTGACTCTGTTAACAGGTGTTTTCAAGTAAGCAGTGTTGAGACCATTGGAAAATAAATCAAGAAATGTGAATGCTTGAGCCAGGTTCTCAGACCTGCATTTGCACCGGTCTAGAAAAGCTTGCCTCATTTCTCAAGCCTTTGAAAAAATGGCAATTAGAAATTGAATTGTTATCTCTGATGCTTATTTCATTATCAGATACTCTTAGCTGATACTCAGACCCGTACAAAGACATAATCATTGTAAGATGACATGTAAAATGTCGACTTTGCATTAGTTAGTTAATGAACAGAGAAGCAAAGACCTTAACCTATCACCTTAAGGATGGTTCTTTGAGGACAACCCAGTCTTAAAGTAAGGATAACTACTACCTCAGGGAAAGTAAAGGTCATTAACAGAGATGGAGGGGTATTGGGAAGCATGTACCAGCATTCTTAATCCTGTTAGGATGGACGTTCAAACATATTGGCATTAAAAGATCTTTTGCTTTATTGGTAATAAGTGGAAAACCTAATGTTTATAGTAACAGGCATGACATCTTAGCTGTGAATTCTTTGGGGTTTCTTTGAAAGCTTTTTAGTTCTGTGGGCAGTGTGATCAGTAACATAATTACAAGGCTGTAAAATAAGCAATGGAAAGAAATAATTTTCTGAAGTGAAAAGGCCAAGTTCTTCTATCTGTTACACCTAAAGATTCTGTCATTGGCTTGCTAATGTGGCATGGCTGTAATAGAAATTAGGATTAGTGCCACTGTGCACATTTTGTCCTGTAATTGTATCTGTGAGTTTGATACTGAGCCAATTACAAAATAATCTGGGAATCATAGAAAGACTAATGAGAAATAATGCAACTCTTTTTCCTATTTCTTAGTGGCATTTTATTAAACTAAAAATATTAACATGTTTTCCCTCTCTCTCTTAGTCCCACGTACTATTTATTTAGATTTTGAAGAGTAGATGAAATATGAAAAGGATTTTTGAGAAAATCCACTTACTTTATTCTGTTAATCATCTGTTGATATATATTTATGTGTATTTTCCACATATTAGGCTTAAAGAAGAATGAGGACTAAAAATCAGAGGAAGAGAAAAAATATACCAAGATCCAACCCTAACTATTCTGTGATTTTATGTACACCTGTCAGATTCTTTTGCTTGGAGTGCAAGTGAATGGCATGTGCTATGGGTTTTTTGCTTTCCCTCTTGTTTATTTACTGGACTTTAAACTCAGCGTTACCAGTGTTCACATTCAGGTAATAATTTTCAAGATGCCTTGTAGCCTAAAATTGGTAAGCACTTTTGTGCCACTGGTTCTGTGAAACTGCTTCATTCAGAAAGGTCACAGTCTTCCCTCACAAACGCAATTGCTGTGGAAATAGCTCAATGAATTCCTTTGCTTGAACAGAGAGCAATTGTTTTTCCAAGTTCTATTCACTAGTTTTTCAAATTGCTGCTAAAACTTCATTCACTAAGGGTAAATAGACTAAATATTTATTAGCATTTCTCAGAAGAGAAAAAAAAATGAATGAAAGAAAAGCTAGATGGAACTCTGTACACTGAGGACAGAAGTTTAATTCCTCTTCTTTCTCCAGTTTTGCAGTTTAAAACGTTTCTAACTGCAGTTGAGGTAGAATTTTATAATGGGTTTTGTATTACACGGTTGATTAGTTTCTGGTTTTTATCAGTTCTGGCAAGATGAATACCTAAGTATCTCTCATATTTCAGTAAGAATTTTACTGAAAGCTTTCACCAGAGTCTTCAAATAACAAGCAAGTAAACAAAACAGGCTTTGGATGAGCATTATTGAGGAATGATCAGTAAATGAGTGAACAGCAGATCCTGCAGGTTGGTTGGATTTTTTCTCTTTTTCTTTTTTTTTTTTTTTTGTGACCCTGTTAATACCTCTAAGTATATAATAACCATGTGTTTATTTTTTATTTTTAATATACTTTCATATGTATTTGTGAATACAGGTCTTGGAACAGGGCAAATAATGGTCCTATAGAGAAAGAAACACTCAGAGGTTTAGCTACAAACAAAACTCTACATGTACAGTCTCTGTAATGGGCCTTATAACAGCAAATAGGCATTTTGTGGGTTCCCAGCCCACATCAATCATTCATTGTCTGGCCCTCATCATTCAGATTTGTGCATGTAGTGTAGCAATATTTATTTGTAATACAATGACTAAAGATCAGCATTAATGTAACCTATAAAAGAAAGAACAATTCTGCTCCATTGAGGTAAGTTATTCTACCAAATAGTGCACAGGACAAATTATCCACTCAAGGAATTGGGAAAGTAGAACACTTACAAAAACACTTAAACCAAAACCCAAATCCTTGATTTGTTGATTAAAATGGTTAAGAGAAGATGCCAAATAAAAACAACATTAGAAGTATGAAGGGTGTAAGCATCTGATTGTGCATGAAATCTGAGAGTAACTGTACATATTATGTATTCCACTTAATCCTGCCTTAAATCTTGTACCTAAATAAGAAAACATTAAAGAGGTCATATAGATTCACTTTAGATGTATAAGATATATATCTCATACATAGCATAATATTAAGAGGTAATATTCTAAAGCAGAAAAAAATTGCTCAACTGAAAAATAACTTTAGTATAATTATTTTTTAATCAAAATCAGTGACACACTATGAATTAGCTAAATGTGTCCATACTGTGGGACCCTATCCAAAGAAGAAAGTATGAACATAGCATTGTCTGGTTTAATGGAGGCATGTACAGCTGACTGCAAAAAGAAAAAAGGGATGAAAAAATAATTATATTTCATGTCGTTATTTTCAACATGTACTGGAGCTTTTCCAGATAGAGCTATGCTTAATGAATTCAGTTTCCCTTCTCATCCCTTCTCTGTATTTTCCTTCTATTTATTATAAAAATGAATAATAGTTTCTCCTACCCTTTCTATATTTTTGTTTCCTCAAACTAATTCCCTCCACGCACAGATATTGATGAAAATTTCAGTTTATTTTTCCCATCAGATTTTTGATATTTTATTGCCAAATTTCCATCAAGAAGCATTTGTGATTTTTCTGCTTCTGTTCACCTCTCTCCTCCTTTTCACATACATCTTCTTTGAAGGTGTTGGGATTTTTAAATTCTATTACTTTTTATTTTTTGTCCCCTTTTCTCAAAATCCTGTCTTTTCTGTGTGATACACCATGGTTCATATTTCTTATCTTCTCAGGCTCTTTCATCTAGTTCTCTTCCTTTTCTTTTCCTCTGCTCTTCGTTGTCCTTTTACTGCCCTTTTCACCTCTAGATTTTTTCTCCTTTTAATTTCCTGGATTTCTTCTGCAGCTAGATTCTCTCAATTACTACATGCTCTAATTTTTTTCTTCTTCCAGTATCCCCACTTGAGCATTACCTCCCCTGCTGCTGCAGAAAGACGCAAGGCCTTTCTTCTGCTCCTTCCTGTTCGTAAGAAAAGAGTTTTCTTGACTATCTTCTGGGAAAAGGACAGCTGCCTGAAGAACAGTGACATCATTCCTTAGCTCTCCAAGGAAATTGGTGTGGAGATCCATCAGAAAGCTGGCAGGTATCTTGTCTCCTTTTGCTTGAAGTTACAGAATGTTTTACCCATCACCTTAGCAACAAGTATGGGAAGGAGCACATGGGCCAAGCCTTTTTTTTCTTTTCCTGCAAGCCTCAAATATATGTGTGCCCAGACAAAAATAAACCACAGGGTTTTCTCTTCTATAGTTAAGCTCTACTTGAAGAAGACTCCACTTGTCTTGTGTGCCTTTTGAGATGTTCATGGCTAAGGTGATACTTCCAAGGAAGAATCATATAGCCACTACTTTAAAAAGCTGAAAACTCTTGAGGAAGAGGTGGAAGTATTCCATTCTATGGATTGACTTATGGAAAAGAAATGGATGCTGGAATGATTACAATTGTTCCTTACAGTTAGATGATATCAAGGAAATAAGTATATAGTGCTGATTTCTTGACTTTCTAGGAAATCTTATAAATTCATGCAATTCTTTGTTGCATAATTTCAGGATTGGGGCCAACGTATATGTAGGACAGACAGGGTCAACAGCAATAAAATATATCACTTGAGGCTTACAGCAGATGAATGATAACATGTAAAACGGATGCTCAGAACTCAAACAGGAGAGATAGTTGGATGTGAGCTTAATGGTAGCTTAGACTAAAATGGATTTTCTGAGCTATAGGCTGTGATGAGGAGAAATGAGATTTAACTACATATATATACAGGATATCTAGTATGACAAGAACAAAAATCTGAATACCCTGTACTCCACACCAATGAATATTTGAAGTGCTTGCAGAATATACATATAAAACATTAAATAGTTAAAATGAAGTGTGTAATTATTGCAGTGAGTATCCAGTTAATTTAGTTTTGATAAACAAATAAATAAAGCCGAAAAAACAAGGAAAGGAAAAAAAATAGAATGTTTTCATTTACATGTAAAATTGTTAGCAGAAAAACATTTTTCCCCTCTTGATCACTCACACTACCTCTTCCTGACAAGGCAGATGAGTGAGGAGGTTTTGGATAGATCAGTTGTTAAACATTCAGTGTTTGGTTTCTCTTTTGAAAGAAATCTTAGATGCTATTTATGACTCGATGATGTGAGTACTTGTCATTTACTACCCAGGACAAAGCCTAACAACTACTAGCTTAGCAATTCCATGTTTTATTCAGTGTTCTAAGAGATGAGATGAAACACATATTTTCCTACTTATTTCCTACTACAGAAAATATTTTCCAAAATTCCAGTAAATCTCAGTGTCCCTAGTAGGCAAAACACATCAGTTTGCAATGTTAGCAGCCTAGAGACAATTTTACTTCCCTAAAATAGGTAGGTTTGTTGTTTTGTTGGGTTTTTTTGTGGTTTTATTTGTTGGGTTTTTTTGTGGGGCTTTTTTCCCTTTTTTCCTTCTCCTTTTTTCCCCAGCCTGGCCTACCTTTTGTGCTTTTGGCATATCAGTGTGGCGCTGAGCACGTACAGAGCGTGCAGATTTAGGTGGCTTTATTGGAGCACAATACATCTCCAGCCTCCTCAGGTCACAACTCTGGAAGCAGCATTCGTCCACTATTCCCTTGTGGTGTAAGCGTCTACTGCTGGATCCATACCCTGTAGGCTTACCTATTCAAAACACAAATGGAAAATATTTATGTTAGAAAGAAAATGCAAAGATCTCAGAAGCAATCATATAAATTGCATTATTTTAACAGAATCACCAATGACAGTTGTAGAAGCTGCCTGCGTGTCTCAGTTCTAAGACCCCCTTCTCAGATACAGCTTTGAAAGTTATTCCTGGAAATGGCCACCTTTGATCTCTGTCTGTGGCTGGTTGCTATTTAAGCATTTGAGCAAAATTACATCTTCTTATAACAATATTATTAAAATATTTTCTTGAACTGTCTTGGCATTGAAAATGAAGCTGGAGGAAGTTGAAATCTGGCATTTAGAAGCCTTGCAAAGGAAATTTGCTCTCGGATGAAAACTGATTGTTGGGCTGACTGAGGTAGCTGGTGTTTAAAGATCATAGGTCATGCCTGTGCTATAGGCAAGTATTTTCTAATGAAACATTTACACTGAGCCACTCTGTGAAGTCAGTGTGTTCCAAAAGGGAAATAAATACCATATACCACTGCACCGGCTGTAAGATATACAAGCACAAAAGCTAGTAGGAATAAGAACTAAAGTAACAAAGTAACCCATGAAATGCAGTAAAAGTAGGAAGGTGCTTGATGGAAAATCTTAAAGAAGAATGTATTATATTCTATAGCTTTGCAGAAGGTAGGAAATGGGAATGACATAACATGTTGTTTCCTGCATTTTGAGTTTGCACTGGGCATCTGTAGAAATTACTAAATTGGCAGATGTTCAGTATTTTTCACTGAGCTCCAGTAAAGGGTGACATTTTCATTCATAGAACTATGCTTCTCTTTTTCTTTTTCTTTCAGTGATTTATGATTTCTTTAGTAACTATTGAATCTTCTGCTGTATTATGCAAAGATTACAGACCCATTATTTCCTAGGCTTGTTTGTGTGTAACCCATGTGAATGTGCAGTTGCCCTGTTATCACCAACTAGAAATGAAGGAACAATAAAGTCACAAAAATAAGTAGTTGCTTACTTACTACATCTATTTAAAAATTATGGTAGAATTTGGTTTCAGGCAGTAAAATTCTGAAAAGATTAAATGTTTTGTTTTGACATTTTCAGCATTAAGTGTTTCCATTTACAGAATGATCCACATTGGTTAAGAACACAAAAATATGGAAAAAAGGAAAGAAAACTGCACCAAGAGCCAAAAAATGAAGTAACTCAAATCAGTCATCCCTACCATTTCTTTTTTTTCCTTGCTTTTTTCTTTTTTTTTCCCCTGCTTCAGTTTTATCACTGAGACCAAAAATCTGTTATTCACAGAGTTTGGCAGGAGTTTACATTTTAAGAAATTACTCAAACTAGATAAAAGATAAGGGGACCAAAAAAAGATGAAAACTCAGTTTCTCTTTGGGAAATTATTGCCTTTAATGCTTATACAGCAAATTCTAGGTTAATATCCATATACTTGTCCTGCAGCTGTCAATTTGAAGACAACACTGCATTTTGCAGTTCTCTGTGATTAAAACATATGCCCAGTTGTGAAGAACCCTTGAGGCTTTAATGCATCTGTAAATGACAAGACCTCTAGTGGTACAGTGTGTCTAACATTTTAGCCAGCAATAGAGTCAGCTAGGAGCTAACTATCCCTATGAGCTTGGTAAACCCAGACAACAGGTTTTTAAATGTCCCTTCTTTTCAGGGACTATAAATTAAACAAAAAGAAAAACGTGCTTATTTCGTATATTGCAATCCACCAAGGGCCTCTATACTGTACCTTGTCTGCTAAACTATTTGTTTCATAAGCCTAAACAGAACGGCAAGCCAGGAGTAGATTACAGGAATATTTTGACTTGTCTGTGTGTGTGTGTTGTTTTCTCTGTTTCACTGGAAAGTGTTATAAATATTAAGACAGAGTTTCGGGGTTTTACTTCCAGACTATTTTCACTCACTAATTCACTCACTGAATTATCATATAAAGTACAAGATACTCTCTGGAGATTTTACTGGTCTGTAATCAGGTTGTCTTAGCCTAATACTTTTAAAATTTAGCAGTTATAAGAAAATGTGGAGTGCCCTTACTGTGTAGGATTTCACATTTTTTCTTACTCCTATGTAAGACATGAAAGGGCAAATTCTGTTCCTGGATATGCAGGTCTAACTCTTCCTAATAGACCCAGCTGAATGTTGAAATCAACAAACAGTTGATGAGTTAAGCTTTTCTCAGTCTGCCAATTTTTCATAAGAAAACATGCTAAAAACTACTGTTCAAGAATTTTCCTTTCAATGGTATTTCATAGCAGCCTAACAGGCATAGACATTTGTTTCATTCCTATTTTACTATTGGATACTGCTAATACTACAAATAAGGATGTACTGCTCATTGGTTAATTTAAAGTGGCTTAGCATGACCTTTCTACCTAGAGAAGAAATTACCTATTAAAAAACCAAAATATCTATCAATCCAATGGAAGATTTCAGGATTAGTAATATTTTGCACTTCTAAGAAACTTAACTATGTTAGCTCCCCATGACACAATACTACCTCTAAGTGACAAAATTTAGAATCAGCAAGATAAAATGTGTTGTCCAGGAACTTCTATGAGTTAACAACAGAACTTGATAGAAGAAATCTTCCTTCCATGTGCAGCAAGACTATAAATGTCTAATGACTGAAAGCTGCTGTTTTATAGGATCCATTCATATGCGTTATAAAGCAAATTGTCAAATGAAGTGTAAAGTTTGCAAGGTCTCAAAATTTTGTTGATTAATACGGTTAACATTTAGCTTTGTTGTGATTAAACCCAAAGATTAACTAGTTGATAGAGGTGATTTCTTTTTTTTCTTCAATCTTTCACCTCCTAACAATCTCCTAACAATCAATAGTTCTGTCCAATTTGTCTACGTTGAGCCTGTAGCTGTACAGCATTGCTTGCATTTTGAATTTTTAATTTAGCTCAATTATATAATCTGATGTTTTGTTTTCCTTAATTATTTTTTATTGAAGGCATAAGGTAAAACAGTAACGTGTAATGGGTTATATAGCATTCTACCAGATTATTGCTATCAGTTCTTTTAAAAAACTTATGACTTATTGGTAAATACAGTAATTTCAACAGGAATATATTTGGGATTTTTTACATACATAAAGTAGAGGAACTAGAGCCATTTAGTCTAACTTTTAATAACATCACTCCTTTATTTGTATGTGATGTCTTCCCGATAAGTCAAGCAGGAGCTTACACAATTTTTCTGTTGGTTGTAATCTGAAAATTCTGATTTTTATTCTTATCTAGTTACCATCTTGTGTGATTACATGGCAGTTATTTTGCCTCTTAGTGTTTACATTTAAGCACTTATCAAGTTTACAAAGTACCCATGACAAAATACCCATGACAAAATGATCCATGAAGCATTGTGTGCCTCAGTAGCAACCTTTCTCCTTCACTATCATATACATAAAGAGTTGAACCAAATCCTGAATCCTGGAATCTTTCAGATGAAAATCTCAGTTTACTTCAAAATTATATTTACAGTAGCCGTATCAAAGACATCTAACGAGTTGTTTACTTTCTGACAGAATAATAACTTTATGAAGGAGGATACAATATCTTATAGATCTTAAAAAACCTGTATGATAAATTTAACAAGTTTGGAATAGAATCACATTCAGTGATGTTGTCAGCAATGAAACTTGCTGTTTATTTACAAACTTAAATATGTATTACATGACACACTAAATTCTCATCCTTTATAAAAAGATAATATTAGTTTGGTGAAGTAAAATGTTTGATGTTTGGGCTGGTTTTGTTGTTTTGTTTCCCCAGGGTTTTTGAAAGACTAAAGTGATCCAGTATTCTTAAAATATGGATGAAATAGAAAGTGAGAATACAGGTAGAGCAAATAAATAGAAAAAAAAATAGGAAAAATTATTCTTTTTCAGTAATCGTGATTCTGGACTCTATTTCTAAGAAAGATCTGATGTTTAAATTAGTTTTAAGCTAGTAAACTTTAGATTGCTGCTGTCTTTGTAAGTCCTGCAGAATACAAAGAAAGGTGCTATCACAAAGATGAGAGAAACAATTACAAGGAGATACTGCCACTTCTACAGATATTAACAGTATTTGTCCCATCTTCTGGAATGACTGCAGGGTCAGATGGTCCCAGTTCATCGAGTTAACAAAGTATGCGCTTAGTTCTGGGCAAATGTTCAAGCTTCTACAAGGTCTGTTGGACTAAGGCACATATTCAACAGTAAGCGCATGCCTGAGTGCTGTCCTACGTAGGGACTGACGTAACTAAACACTTAAGTTGATTTCTAGACCAAACCCCTTATTTTTAGTAAATAAATGGCTGGTTGTTTTGCACATTTAATGCCACTTTTCTGTTTCTTATTTTTTTCTTATGATATTACCTTAAAATACTGACTGATCCTGCTCTGTCAGTATACTGGGCATCCATGTAGTTCTTTCCCATCTTTCTGACACAATTTGAGCACTACCTTCCAGCTGTTATCAAAAAGTCCCTTGTATTTAGTTGACCTTCAAAGTGCTGCCTGTGGACATGTAACAGTCCTAGGCATTCCTTTTTGCTGAGGTACTTTGATCTCCTTGGAGGTTACCTTCCTTTTTTGTCAGTTGCTGTCTCAAAAGAGGTTTCATATCATGTAGGTCAAAGTTCACTTAATAGAATTTTTGGCTCCCATTTAATCTACTGAACCGAACATGTGAATGTTTCCTTCCATGTGCTACAAGCAGATACGAAGTCTAGTCACACTGTTCTGAAGTCCCCTGAAAGCAGGCCAAGGTACAGCATTACAATAGTTAAACAGCTGACTTCTATACTGACAGCACTTCCTTCTAAATAATGGAAAGTAAGTGGAATAATTCAGCAGGGCTTGTTTACACTTTGTTTCTTTGTTCCCCTGCTTCCCTCTAAAATATCTCACTGGTGCTGCCATTGGTTCTGCTCTACCAATGGTTTCAAGAAGCACTGGTGTAGGTGGATTATGGAAGTTTCAATTGTTGAACCAT